CTCTGGGGTTGTGTATTTGTTGAGAACCTACATTGTGGAGAGGCCGCGTTGTGGAGCGACTACAGGCTGTAAGACTCAAAGCATAAGTGACAAATTCCATAAATCCTCCCACCACCCATGGTAAAATCGCAGACTCCCTGCTGTGTCGGTCCTATTGTCTGATTCCTCCAGCAATCCGGCTTTCCCCTGACCCCGACCCTGTTTGGAGCAGTACACCCTATGTGGATGCTTAGGCTCTAAAGTCAATTTTAGAAGCATGGGAAGATTTGGGGTTATGAACAACATGTGACTGAGGAACAGTCGCACGGTTTCATGCCACAGACTCAAGGGAAAAACCTCATCATACCGTCAATAGGAACGGCTCCGGTTTAAAGGAGATAAACAGCTCCTTCTCAAAACCACGTCTGTCCATTTTTTAATGCCCTCTTTTTTTCCATTAAGACCCGAGTCTATGTCTTAACTCAGCCTTGCAGTAAGGCACAAAGGAGTCTACTAGATTCACGGGGTTCTCAACCTTTATAGGGCCCCAAACTGAGAAATAGGAACCCCCCGGCCAGCAGCCGGAGTTTACCGCAGTGCTGTTATAGACTAAACGGTATCCCCTCCAAAACTCACATGCTGAAGCCCTCACCTGTAATGTGATTGTATTTGAAGATAGGGCCTAGAAAGAGAGAACTAAGATTAAATGAACTTGTAGGGAATGGGGCCCTAATCCCAGAGGAGCAGTGCCCCTAGAAGAAGAAGAAGAACAGATCCCAGGGAGACAAGCGTGCAGAGGGAAGGCTGGGTGAGGACACAGCGCAGAAGGGGGCTGTCTGCAAGCCAAGGAGAGAGCCCTCAAGAGAGACTGAACTTCCTAGTGCCTCGATTTTGCCCTCCAGCCACGAGAGCTGTAAGAAAATGCATTTGTTATTTATGCCACTCAGTCAATGACCCTGGGCTGTGGCAGCCCTAGCAAACGAATATAGATGGTAAGGTCTCAGCTTTTGGTCAGGCTATGAGCAAATATTTATTGAGCATCTCCTCTATGCACTCTGCTGGTTACCCAGGATAGAGCAGTAAACAAAAGCCAAAGAACCATGGGGGATGGGAGGGGTTGGCCTCACAAAATTTGAGTGGCATGGGACACTGCTTTCTGTGCCCTGGCTCTCCAGCGCTTCCTCCTTCCCACACTGCGGCTCTCTCTCGAAGTGGCACTGGGAACTTTTAGAAATGCACATTCTCGGGCCCCACCCCCACCTCCCAGCTCATCGGTTTGGGAGCGCAGACAGCAGAGCCTGCAAGGGAGTCTCAGGCCAAGGAAAGCGTGACAACCGCCCCCCCCGGGCTACCATCCAGCATCCACCCTGACCCAGAAGCAGCTTGCACGGCCTCCTCCCTCTCTGTCCCATCACCCTCCCCGCACCCTGCTCCCAAGCTGTGCCAGGCGCTTGGCACCCACCAGGTCGACACAGTTATCCCCAAGTTGCTGAGGAGGAAACTGAGATTCAAGGCAGCTTCCTCCCTTCCCAGAGACACACAGCCGCCAGTCACAGGATCCGGACACTGAAGGCCAAGCAGCATGCTTCTTCCTCAGGCTCTCACTATCTCGTTCTCTCTTCCAATCACCCTCACTCTCTTTTTGTTTTCCTTTCCCTTTTTTTTTTTTTTTTTTAAGGCCCTTCCAATGCACAACAGTCAGATCCCACCTGGCCTAACAGGGCTCAGCTCGCCTCTCCACAGCTTAGCAATATCTGCATTTTGACAGTAACACGTACTGATTCCTCCAGGATGCCCATTCAGAATTTAACACAATTACCTCCTCCCCAGGGCACAGTATTCTACCAAATGCACTATATACCTCTGGTGGAAATGGGGTATTCTTCCCTTCTTTATAGGGAGAAAGTATCTACTGGAAAGAAAAAAAAAATCTTTAAAAAATCCACTATTAGTTAGGGAAGCAGGAGTCCGAGTGTTGTCAACTATTTTCTATAGTCATTTTAGACTTGCATCTGGAAGCAGAAACACCTGATTGAACGGAGGTTTAGGCCAGCGAAGGCACAATGCCTGGGAAAGGAACAGGCAGCAGGGTGAGGCTTCTGGAAAGCGCCTGCTCTAAGCCCACCGTTAACAAACAAGGGGACGTATTGGTGAGTACATGAAGAAACAGGAACCCTCATACACCACGGTACTCCAGTAACGTCACATGGAGCCACCACCTGGCGAGAGGGTCCAGGAAAACAAATGAATATCCATGGGGATAACAACTGGGTGGTTTATTAAAGAGCAAAAAATAACCTTATCCTGCGATTCTCCCTCCTAAGTATCTACTCAAGAGGAATGAAAACATTTGTCCACACAAAGACTTATACATGAATGTCCGCAGCAGCATTATTCGTAAGCTCCCGAAGGTGGACACAGCCCAAATGTCCATCAACGTGTGAATGGATAAAACAATGGATAAACATGTGAATGTTCCACACCCTGGAACACTATTCAGCAATGAACAGGAACCAACCACTGATCGATGATCACCCGCTACACGATACGGATGGATTTCGAAAACATGCTGGACAAAAGAAGCCAGATGCAGAAGGTGTATGTACATGAACGCCAAGAAAACCCAGCTCTGTAGAGACAGAAAGTAGATGCACGGTTGCCTGGGGCTGGGGGCACCAGAGATCCTTCTGGGGAATGGAAAGATTCTACAGCTGGTTGCAGGGATAGCTGCACAGCTCTGAGGTCCTTATGGTGCACATTTAAACTTGGTGACTTGTATGATACGCTGATTACACTTCAGTGAAGCTGTGTTTCAGCATGGGAGTGCTGCGAGGGAAATCACTTGGGTGCGCAGGCCTGAGCAGCTTGATTTGGTGCAACGAAGGCTTACTGACCCCAACACACAGGTGGGCCCCAGGGAGAAGAGCGAATGCCTACATCATTTTCTTCCTGGATGAATGCCCTAAAAGACAACCCTGGGGGAACAGTTCCTCTGGAGCAAAAGTTCTCCTGCTGAGCAAATACTCCCCAAAGAATGCAAGGCAGAGGGAGGCCCACAGTGGCCCAGCCAGGGGCAGAGAACTTGATGCACCAGGGCGAGGGTAGGGGTGCGTGGCTGAGCAAGTCTGAGGGACGCGTGGGGAAAAGCACACTCAGGGGCCACTGTCCCCCAAGAGACAGGCATGGGGGATTCACAAGGTGTGGGTGGGCTCTTATGAGGCTGCCCCAGAAGGACCCTGAAAGGGGTCTGCTGCCTAAAACAGGAGGAGGGACCAGCAGAAATTTCTGACATGAGTCATCAAAAATAAAGAAATGCTTTCTTCTTAAAAATGAGAAGCTGAGGGCAAGAAAGGATGAGGGGAAGCACCCCATACATACATTGAAGGTCATGTTATTGTCAAAGAGGATTTCTTTATGGTGGCATTTCGTCGGCTTCCCTGGTTTGCCTCTTCTTCATTAACCACAAACATATAGTATGGAAACTGCTGCCCTATCTGTCATTCATGGCAAAGGGACTGGAAAGATCAGGATCTACTTGAATGACAACTACTGCTAAAGTTTCAGCAATGGAAATACAAAAAGGAACTCCAAGATAACAAGATTCTTCTTACACTTTGCTTTCCTTCTACCTTACACACAAAACAGCTAAAGGCATTGATGGGAAGAAGTCCTTCACCCACTATAGCACTCAAAGTCTCCAGAAAACACGAAAGCCACCCCTAGCTTATTTTAATAAACAGCTACAGCCAGGGTAAAAATCAACATGGTTTTGAAAATAAATAAACGATTCTCCTCCTTTAAGGAGAGCAATTTATTTAACACTGCAGGTTTTATCTCGCATGACCTCCCCATCCTGATCCCGGGGAAACTATCATTTTTTTTAAAGATTTTTTATTTACTTATTTGACAGACAGAGATCACAAGTAGGCAGAGAGGCAGTAAGAGAGATAGAGAGAGAGAGAGAGAGAGAGGGAAGCAGAGAGCTCAGCAGAGAGCCCGATGCGGGGCTCGATCCCAGGACCCTGGGATCATGACCTGAGCTGAAGGCAGAGACTTTAACCCACTGAGCCACCCAGGCGCCCCAGAAACTATCATTTTTGTATCCAGTAAATGCAACATTGATTAATAGGTCAGTGTAAATGTCAGTTTGGGGCGTTCAATAAATGTAGTTCCACAAGGGTCAGTTTTTGCCCAGTACTATTTAACACTGTCATTAATTACTTGCTGACAGAATAGGTGAGAGAATTAGAAGTAGATCATTAAAACTGGTAATTCAGAAAAAAAATAGTTAAAATACATACAAGTCTTGACAAGCTGGAAGACAGAGAGAAACCACTTGGTATTCTCAGGGCTCTGCTTGGATCAAAACAGGTACTCAAAAAATGTTGTCTAGACCAAAAAATGGCAACAAAACAGAAGACCAGCATACATGATTCCCTGAAGAAAGAAAAGATACCCATTTGCAGGTTTGCACTGATATCTATTATGCATTTTACACCCAAACTAAAATTCCTTATAACGAAGTAACCATAACTCACCAAAAGCAAGATCAACATACCAATAATGTGCATCAATCTGATAAGAGCCAATATTATAGAGAACATGCACAATAGTTCAAAGCATAGTGCACACTTTATTATCCTTTTCCTTAAGTACAGAGAGAGAGAGAGAGAGGTTATTGGTGAATATCTCCCCCCCACACACACCTGAGTTGTGAATGAGAAGGCAGGAAAAGTATAAGAGAATGACCACCAAACAGTAGCAGTCTTAGCAGAAAACAGCAACAGCAAACAAAGGTATAGCTGGATGGAGAAAAAGGTAGTCACACCTAAGCCAACCCCTGGAACCACAAGTTCTACACTTGAAAGTGGCTGGCTCGCCCCCAAGCAGGAAGGGACAGGACACCAAAGCCACAAGGACTCACTAGGACCCCAGACTCCCCTCCCTCTGAGTAGCTGAATGGCTCCTGCAGGTTTTGTTTTTTGTTTGGCTGCATTTTTTTTTTTTTTTTTTTTTGTTTTTGCTCTCAGAACTTTATTAGGTGGAGATTGGGCAAAGAGAGAAAACCCCTGAAACAGTCGCCCACCTGGTTCAGGACAAATGGAATAGAGGAGCCTTTGCTTGGAGACGTGCTCTCATTGAGGTGAAGGCATATCTTGGATTTTGATTTTTTTTTTTTTAAAAGGGAGCAGATTGAACATCTCTGAGCACAACTTCAGACGGTTTTTTAAAAAATGGTCAGCCAGAGGAAGGCAAGTCTCTTGGGGAGAAGACCAGAAGCAGAGGCCTCTGGTCTGTATGAAGACAAACAGGTGCCACTTTCATGTTGGGCAGGAAGGATATCGCTGCTATTCCCAGTTCAAGATTTGGTAGGTGAGGAACATGACAAATGACAAAAGGTCTGTTCCTCAAAGAGAGGGCTAAAGTAATTACACAGGGAAAGAAACTCAAAAAATGGCTTTGAGGGAGTGAGATTAAGTCGTGATTCTTCATTGGTACCTGACCCCAGTCCCCAAACTGCCTTGAAGCAGCCCTTCCAGACACTGCTCCCAACTGCCCCTGGGGCTGGAAGGCCACAAAGAAGGCCTGAAGGCAGGAGTGGGAAAAGGGCTTCTTTGCTACAGTGAGAAGGGGCTCGAATCAGGATTGCAGACCTGGCTAAGAGTAGCAGCTGTACCCCTACACCCCAAGACTTCTATCACATTTACAAATACATACATAAATACATTACATACAATAGCGAGTCTGGGAGGCAGGTTCCCCACAGAGGCTCGGCTGACACAGTTACACGTCTCAGGAATCCTAGGAAAGGGCGCTGGGCTCCTAGAAATGGGCTCCGTGTGTTCTCTCCTGCCCAGGGTAAGCCCTGCCCAAGCCCACCCCTCTCTTCAAAGGTTCAGTTTGTCCAGTAGGGAGAGTTGCCGTAGGAGGGCTTGGAAGCTTGCGACTTGGGCTGCAGGGAGCTGGGCTGGCTGCGTTGACCCGAGCCACTCTGGGCATCCTGTGGCAGATGGTGGTGTAGAAGCTGTGAATGAGGCTGCTGGTGGGCAGGCAGGATGTGTAAGAATGGTGGGGGTGCATAACCAGGGGCTGCTCCAGCGGCTAGGGGCCCAGTGGAACCCAAGGCCGAGGGCAGGCTGAACGGTGGAGGAGTCCCTGCGTGAAATCCCTGCTTGTCGAAAGTCTGAGTCTTGTTGTAGACTGAACCGGTCATGTCAGGTAGGCCGGTGGTGCTTGAGGACACGGACACTCCTTTGCCAGGCCCAGAACCTGCAGACTTGTTTTGTGCCTGCGATGATCCACCATAGCCACCCTTGGTGTAGTCTCCCGCTGCTGTCCCCTGGGTCAGGTCATCATAACCTGCGCTGTAGCTATGCTGGCCGTAACCACCGGCCTGCTGGAAAGGGGTGGTGGGGGTGCTGAGGTTCACACCATGCTGCTTGGCTGAGGCCGGAGGGACAAACATCGTGGGCCCATACTGGAAGGCACTAGGCACGCCCGTGTAGTAGGGGAGGCCAGTGTAGCTGTAGCCAGGGGGCAGCGCAGGATTCAGGAAGGGCTGCTGGGCTGTGTGGTGGGCCTGGGACTGGCTCTGCTGCGGCTGAGCCAGGGTGGTGGGGGGTGCAGGGGATGCAGAGTCACCTCGGTGTTTGGCTGCATTTTTAATTAGAAAGAAAAAAAGAAAGTTTTCCCACTGATGGCTATCCTACTGAAAGTCTCAGCCCACGGCCCACCTTCTAGAAGGACTTAACAAAAGTACACATTCTCAAAAAGAAAAAAAAAATAAAGACTCTTGTGCACAAAGGGGAGGATTCAAGGGTAGCCAGATAAAGAAGTAGAAGAATCAAGAAATATTTTCTAATGCTCTTTTTACCAAATAATAGTCCTGGATTAGAACTGTCCTTGGTTAAAAAAAAAAAAAAAAAAGAAAGAAAGAAAGAAAAGAAAGAAAGAAGGAAAGAAAGCGAACAGACAACAAATAAGGACTCTTCAACAACAAGAAGGGAAAAAAAGCAGGGAAGATTCAAACAGTTCTGTTCTCTTAAGGAAACTTAAAAAGAATATCACCTGTATAGAAAAGAAAGAGATCAAAGCTGTGTGATCATAGTCCATATGGCAGAATCAAGCGAGAAATGAGGAGAAAAGCAATACCAACTCAGCACTTGAAACTACCTGAGAAACTTCCCAAAGCAGAATCAACATTCCAGAAAACATAAACTATGGTGAGGAGTCCTGGCTCAAGAGGAGCGGAAAAATCATCAGAAGGCAAAGGGGAATAACAAGGAAAAGGAAAAAGAGAAATCAGCGCAGAGAAGCTTTGTTTAATGCAAACAAGCACATTCACTTCTAACAGAAAGACCCAGTTTTGCTAATGGGTAGAGAGTAGGGGGAAGGTCCACTACTAGCCACAGGACAGAGAACTCAGGGTAATAGAAATCCTATGCTCCTGGCAGAAGAAAAAAAATTCCTCTCTGGAGCACAGCATGTTCATCTTGGGCCTCAAAGAATTCCCACAAATTATGAGAAAAAAATACCCACATGCCCTAGGAAACAACAGGAGCAGAAGAAGATTAAGACAAGATTTGCAATATTAAAATTACAAAATGCAAATAATAAGACAATCATGCTGACTTTGTTTAAAGAAATAAAAAAAATAAACATTTGCCAGGAACAAGAATCTGAAAATGACATCAAAGTTCTGAAAAATAACCAAAAGATATCTCCAGAATTTTTTTTTAAAAGCACAGAAGATCAATGGCTGAGTTTAACAACAGACTAGACACAGTTGAAGAGAGAATTAGTGAAAAGGTCCAAAGACATTACCCAAAATATGGCAAAGAGACAATACCAGAAAAAAAATATATAAAAGAGAAATTAAGATACAGAGGGGATAAAATATTTATTTATTCAGAGTCCCAGAACAAGAAGAAAGAGAATGGGATGGAAGTGATATTTTGTGTGTATGTGTGTGTGTCTGTGAATGATAATTTTTTTTAAAGATTTTATTTATTTATTTGTCAGAGAGAGAGAGAGCATAAGCAGGGGGAGAGGCAGAGTGGCAGGCAGAGGCAGAGAGAGAAGCAGGCTCCCCGCTGAGCAAGGAGCCCAATGTGGGACTTGACCCCAGGACCCCAAGATCATGACCCGAGCCGAAGGCAGTGGCTTAACCGAATGAGACACCCAGGCATCCCTGTGTGTGGTAATTTTTTAAGCTTTTATTCTAATTCCAGTAATTAACACAGTGTTACTTTAGTTTCAGGTGTACAATATAGTGATTCAACAATTACGCATATCACCCGGTGATCATCACGACAAGTACATCCCTTACTCCCCATCACTGAGAGCTTTCCAGATGCCAATCACAGATTCAAAAAGCCCAATGAAACCCAATCACATGAGAAAAGAAACCTACCTCCCAACACATTGTGAGTAAAATTCATAAAATTAAGACAAAGAAAATATCTTAAAAGCAGCCATTGGGGGAGATTCAGCAGGGCACTTGGGCAGGGGGAAGGGGCGGGCGGGGGTAGGATACAGATTACCTTCAGAGACTGGCAGCTGTCTTCCCAATAACAACAGTGGAGGCCAAAGGCAATGGAATGATATCTTCACTGTATTAAGAGAAAACAATTGCCAATCTAGAATTATAGTCTCAGTGAAAACATCTTTTTCAAACGGGAACAAAATAAAATCGCTTTCAAACCAAAACAGAGAATTTGCTGTCAGGAGATACTCATTAAAAGAAATTCAAGGGGCACCTGGGTGGCTCAGTGGGTTAAAGCCTCTGCTTTCAGCTCAGGTCATGATCCCAGAGTCCTGGGACTGAGCCCCTCATTGGGCTCTCTGCTCAGCGGGGAGCCTGCCTCCCCCTCTCTCTCTCTGCCTGCCTCTGCCTATTTGTGATCTCTCTGTCAAATAAATAAATAAAATCTTAAAAAAAAAAAAGAAATTCTAAAGAATGTTCTTCAGGTGGAAGAAAGGTAATCCCAGATGAAAGACCTGAGATGCAAGAAGGAAAAAAAAGCAGAGAAAGTAACCAAGAGGTAGAAAGAACTAAACTAACACTCTTTGTACAAAACAGCAAAAATGCCTCGTGAGTTATTTTCTTAAGAAGCAATAAAATGCAGGACAACAATAATTTATCATCAGGAGAGAAGTAAACAGAGTGAAAAGTGTTCTGAGGTCACTGTGCCATTCAGAAAGAGGGTAAAAATATTTATTAATTCTAGACTTTGAGAAGTAAACTATGCATGTTGTAACTTCCAGAGTAACAACTAAAAGAATATAAAAAGAGTACATACATTCAGAACCAGGAAAGGAGAAATGATGGGATGATATAACTGAAACAAGGAAAAAAAAAATAAAACATAGACATAAGCAGAACAAATAGCAAGCCCTAACAGGAGATGTAAACCCAAATAGCTCAGAGGTTACCATGAACCATGAAGTAAATATTCCGGCTAAAAGTCTGATTGTCAGGCTAAATAGAAAACACGGTCCAGCTGTATGATGCCATTCGCAAAACACCCATGTAAACTATAAAACTATAGGAAGATGGAAATGGTACATAATTGTACATAAAGCAAATACCAAAAGAAAGTTGATACAGATATCAGATATATACACAAATATATAATGCACATACTATATATGCATACAAAATATTTTCATTCTCATTAAGGTACCATACTGAGCAAAAGGAAGGCTGGACGTAGGCGTAAAGAAAGATGGAGAGAGGCTAGAGTGGGAGAGAGTAGGGCATGTTTGTAGGCCCAGAAGAATAACCCAGCAGAAGAGGCACAATGGGAGACACAAGAGGAAAGGACCTGGTGTCCTGAGCGGGCGAGCAGGGCTAGGATCTGGTGCACGAGCAGAGGGGCTGGCCGTGAACAAAATCCCGGCCAGGAGCTGTCTGCAGTTGGGCAGGAAGGCGCGGCTGGGCACTGTGGGAACAGGTGCTGTAAGACGTTTCTTAAGGGGAGAAGTTTCTCTTCTGATTGCCTGCTTGCTCTCAGAAAAATAGGAACCAAGGTCATCATCAAGGATGACGGCAGAAGGGTTCTTCTGAAAGTGTCCGGAGAGAGAGAACGTGAGAAGTGAGCACCTGATGGGAGCTCCATCACCACTTGCCCGTGAATGAATGAATGGGGAGTACACAGCACAGAAGCCTCAGGCAGTGCAAGGGTCCACCTGGGCTGCGTGGTTATACATTTAAAGTGGCTGCATGTTTTTCTCTAGCCTTGTCCTTTGGGGCTTATGGCCACACAGAGACAGGCCTGGGGACAAACCAACAAGCTGAGCCTTGTCCTTTGGGGCTTATGGCCACACAGAGACAAGCCTGGGGACAAACCAACAAGCTGAGGAGGACAGAGTAGAAGAATCTTGTTAAGCCACAGAACAACCCCACCCCCCACCTTGGCTTCCTCTCCCTCTTGGCTTCTTGTGCATGAATGGTAAAACCTATTTTCATCCACTGCTGTCCAGAGTGTGTGCTGCTTGTTGCCAGGCTCATCCTAACCGATGTGTGACTGTCCCACCCCTGAAGGTCTCAGCAAATGGGGCTTGCATTCATTTGGTTCTCCAGGACACAAGGTCCACACCAAACCACGCAACGATTCAGACTTCTTGGATCTGTCTCTTTTCCCTTTGGCCCCATCGCAGCCTTGGGGCCAGCCAGCACATAACATTTACCTCTGAGCACAGAACAACCTACGCAGGTGTCCGTGTGATAACGGAGATATTTTACGTTGGTCCCCATGCCCGGATCTCCTCCTTCACCCCCAGCAAGTCACCCCAAACTTACTGGTATCAGTGACAGCTGTTTTACTAAACTAGTGGATTCTGTGGCTCAGGAACTTGGGCAGAAGGCAGCAGAGACAGCTGGAAAGACTCAAACCACTGGGGGGAGCCTGAATGGCTGGAGACAAGGACCACACGGAGATATCTTCACTTAAAATCAGACACCCAGGCTGCGATGACCCGATGAGCGGCCCCTCTCAGCTGCTGACCAGAGCACACACTTCTCCGTGTGCCCTGGGTTGCCCGGACTGCCAGGTCCTGGGAGCAGCAGGGCAGGGGACGTGCCAGGAGAACCAGGCCCTTCTAGCCTTGTGGATTAGATTCCCCTTACTGCTGTAACAAGTTACCACCAACGTAATGCTTTCAAGCCATACAAACTCATTATTTCACAGTTTGGAGGTCAGAAGCCCCAGATGGGTTTCTCTAGGTTAAAACTGAGGTGTTGGCAGGGTAACATTTCTTCTGGAGACTCGAGGAGAGAAATTGTTCCTTTACCTCGTCCAATTTCTAGAGGCCACTCACATTCCTTGGCTTACAGCCCCTCCTTCCATCCTCAAAGCCAGCCACACAGCATCTCCAAATCTCTTCTGGCCTCTAACGTTCTTGTCCACCTCCTATGGGGACCCTTGTGGTTACATGGGGCCCACGGGATAAATCTTTCCACCATAAGATCCTTGACTTTATCACATCAACAAAGTCCATTTTGCCCGGGAAGGTCACATATTCCCAGGTTCTGGAGCTGAGGATGTGAGCATAGACGGGCAGGGGGAGGATGTTATCCCCCGTGCTACACTATGAAAATCATACCTCATTTCCCCTGCACACTATTGGTCAAAACCGTGACAGCCAGTCCTGATTCCACAGGAAGGGGCACAGACTAACCTCTCCATGGAAGGAGTGCCCACGAATCTGCGGCCATGTTGTTAAAACTGTCCCACCACCATTGTGGCTATGGCTGCGCCATGCCTAGCATTCAAGAAGGGGCTCCACTCCCACTCTTGACTCAGCAGCACGAACACACAAAGAGACAGCCTAATGATGCCACGGGCATGACTGAAGGCAATAGACACACAGCACAGTCCCATTTCATGCTGATTTTAAATAACATCATATAGGGTGCCCAAGGGCTCAGTCAGTTAAGCATCTGACTCTTGATGTTGGCTCAGGTCATGATCTCAAGGTCGTGAGATCAAGCCCCGCCTTGGGCTCCCCGCGTAGCATGGAGTCTGCTTAACAGTCTCCCTCTCCCTCACCCCTCCCCGACTCTCTACAATAAATAAATAAAGTCGTATCAAACAATTAATACATCCTCCTGAATGCACAGCTGAGTCAGGCAAATGCTTTCTCACATTTATTCCTCAGTGAAAATGAGATGTGAATTGCGTAAGTTTTGAACCATGTGAGTATTTCGAGAACACAGCCCTTGCCTAACCCGCGACCACTGTGTACTTGATTAAACTCGCTAAGTACCCAACAAATAACACAACACGAGCAAAGAGAGCAGGAGAGATGGGAAAATCACATCCAACTTTTAGCATAAGGATGAAAGAATCACCAGATGATTAACTTCCTTCAAAATACGAGTTTCCCATGCTGTTGGCATTGAAGGAATGTTTCTTCTGTTGAAATCAAGCATTATTAGTAAACAGCAGTTGTAAGACCTCAAAGTGGCTAAATTGTAGGCTTTGTTGGAAACAGGCCTGAATGGAACATATTAGCATAAATTGTATTTTTTATGGTTAAGCTGCAGTGTTAATATCAAACTGTGCTAAACAATCGGTCTCCATACGGCGGGTAATTGAACTACCTGTTAGATCAGTTTAGTAAGTTGTCAAAACTGGAGAAGTCAGCAATTTCAGTGGATGTGTTTGTAAAATATCCCGAGGTCCTCTGGCTTCACATCAATGCACAGAACAGCCCTCGAGCATTAAAAGCCTGTCTGTTAAAAATAAGGATTAGCAACAGGGAAAATACAAGATGAATATCAAAAAGTAAAGCCAACCTGTTGTAAAAATGAACGCAATATACTCAGTAAAAGTTTGCAGGGGCGCCTGGGTGGCTCAGTTGGTTGGGCTACTGCCTTCAGCTTACGTCATGATCTTGGAGTCCCGGGATCGAGTCCCTCATCGGGCTCCCAGCTCCATGGGGAGTCTGCTTCTCCCTCTGACCTTCTCCCCTCTCATGCTCTCTCTGACTGTCTCTCTCAAATAAATAAATAAAATCTTAAAAAAGAAAAAATGTTTGTATTCCGTCTTGATTTGCTCTGAATTAAGCTTTATATCCAACAGTTTTTGTCTTACTATTGTGCATTCAGACAACTGGACATTGAATTTTGCCCAGTCAAAATAACTGTCACTATTTGTTTCCATCCACCTTAGACCCCAGATATCTGGAATACTTTAGTATGTGGGGAGGAGTGGTGGGGGGCTTAAACAAAAGTATACCCTCATGATTTCATGATTTTTGCTCAATTTTACATATTCTTTGAGAATATGGAGCATTTCAGACAGGCCTCTGCCTTCTCTCTTAAATGAATGTTTGTATACCATCCAGCATATATTTAAATATCCTCAGAGTAAATAGTTTGGGTATGGCTTAGTCCTGTGAAATGTAAAGTTAAACATGTATATTAGACAGTGGTGGATGCCCAAGCAAATTGGAGAAAATCTGATCATGAAACCTTAGTTGAGGTCTGAGCGTTCCAAACTTACCATTTGAAACCATGTGAAACGGTCAAGCATTAATTACCAAATGGTTTGTGTCTTGGATAGTAGAATACTGCTGAGAAATAAAACTAGTTGGCCTTATCACTTCCCTCCTGTTGTCTTGCCACTCCTATTTTGAGCCCACCTACACACTTGGGAATCATTTTGTTGTTTTTAATAATTTTTCTTCTAATCACAAAAAGAACACATGCTCATTGTGGAAAATTTACAAAATATGGACCAACTAAATAAAAAAAGCAAAGTCCTCCATACCAATTTACTTTACACCCCTTGAACTGGATCCCATTCTCACTCCTTAAATCAAAAGAAATTCATTTTGAGTTTATCTTTGTGTACGGTGTAAGAGAATGGTCGAGTTTCATTCTTCTACATATAGCTGTCCAGTTTTCCCAGCACCATTTATTGAAGAGACTGTCTTTTTTCCACTGCATATTTTTTCCTGTTTTGTTGAAGATTATTTGACCGTAGAGTTGAGGGTCCATATCTGGGCTCTCTACTGGTCTATGTGTCTGTTTTTATGCCAGTACCATGCTATCTTGGTGATTACAGCTTTGTAGTAAAGCTTGAAATCAGGTAACGTGATGCCGCCAGTTTTATTTTTGTTTTTCAACATTTCCTTAGTGATTCGGGGTCTCTTCTGGTTCCATACAAATTTCTGGATTATTTGCTCCAGCTCTTTGAAAAATACCGGTGGAATTTTGATTGGAATGGCATTAAAAGTATACTGCTCTAGGCAGTATAGACATTTTAACAATGTTTATTCTTCCAATCCAAGAGCATTGGAATGGTCTTCCGTCTTTTTGTGTCTTATTCAATTTCTTTCATGAGTGTTCTGTAGTTCCTCGAGTACAGATCCTTTACCTCTTTGGTTAGGTTTATTCCCAGGTATCTTATGGTTCTTGGTGCTATAGTAAATTGAATTGATTCTCTAATTTCCCTTTCTGTATTTTCATTGTTAGTGTGTAAGAAAGCCACTGATTTCTGTACATTGACTTTGTATCCTGCCACGTTACTGAATTGCTGTATGAGTTCTAGTAGTTTGGGGGTGGGTCTTTGGGTTTTCCATATAAAGAATCATGTCATCTGTAAAGAGAGAGAGTTTGACTTCTTCATTGCCAATTTGGATACCTTTTATTTCTCTTTGTTGTCTGATTGCTGTTGCTAGGACTTCTAATACTATGTTGAACAAGAGTGGTGAGAGTGGGCATCCTTGTTGTGTTCCTGATCTCAACGGGAAGGCTGCAAGCTTTTTCCCATTGAGGATGATATTTGCTGTGGGTCTTTCATAGATAGATTTTATGAAGTTCAGGAATGTTCCCTCTATCCCTATACTTTGAAGCATTTTAATGGATAAAAGACCTCAATGTGAGATAGGAATCCATCAGAATCCTAGAGGAGAACATAGGCAGTAACCTCTTCCATATCAGCCACAGCAACTTCTTTCAAGATATGTCCCCAAAGGCAAAGGAAACAAAAGCGAAAATAAACTTTTGGGACTTCATCAAAATCAAAAGCTTCTGCACAGCAAAGAAAACAGTCAAGAAAACAAAGAGGCAACCCACGGAATGGGAGAAGATATTTACAAATGACAGTACAGACAAAAGGTTGATATCCAGGATCTATAAAGAACTCCTCAAACTCAACATACACAAAACAGATAATCATATCAAAAAATGGGCAGAAGATATGAACAGACACTTCTCCAATGAAGACATACAAATGGCTATCAGACACATGAAAAAATGTTCATCATCACTAGCCATCAGGGAGATTCAAATTAAAACCACATTGAGATATCACCTCACACCAGTTAGAATGGCCAAAATTAGCAAGACAGGAAACAACATGTGTTGGAGGGGATGTGGAGAAAGGGGATCCCTCTTACACTGTTGGTGGGAATGCAAGTTGGTGCAGCCACTTTGGAGAACAGTGTGGAGATTCCTCAAGAAATTAAAAATAGAGCTTCCCTATGACCCTGCAATGGCACTACAGGGTATTTACCCCCAAGATACAGATGTAGTGAAAAGAAGGGCCATCTGTACCCCAATGTTTATAGCAGCAATGGCCACGGTTGCCAAACTGTGGAAAGAAACAAGATGCCCTTCAACGGACGAATGGATTAGGAAGATGTGGTCCATATACACTATGGAGTATTATGCCTCCATCAGAAAGGATGAATACCCAACTTTTGTAGCAACATGGATGACACTGGAAGAGATTATGCTGAGTGAAA